TCCTCGTCCTCCTCCTCTTCCTCATCCTTCTTTTCTTCCTCCTGCTCATCCTCGCCTTCTCCCCTCCTTCCGCCTCGCCTTACACTTCCCGCCCCCTTTGTCTCTGCCCCCACCCCGCCCCCCGCCATCCTCTTCACCCCCCTCCCCCAATTCCCCCCTTACCCTCCCCATCCTGCCCCATCCTCTTCCTCCCTCCTCCTCCTCCTCCTCCTCCTCCCCTCCTCCTCCTCCTCCCTCCTCCTCCCTTCTCCTCCTTCTCCTCTCCCCCTTTCTTCTGCCCCGCCCCTCCCACCCCCGCCCCCTCCCCCCTTCTCCTCGCCCCCCCCCGAACCTCCCACGATCCGCTTTAGTCGTTCGCCCCAGGGCATCCAACCACTTCCCGAAGACCAGCTCATCTCTATTGCTCCGCGTCGAAGGCGGCCCCGGGGCCCAGAAGCAACCTTCCGACGACGAGCGTCGTGTTCCGTCCGAGCACCGTGCCCCGCCCCCGAAGTTTCGGCCTCCTCCCGGGGGCCGGCGATCCGTCGCGGGTCGCTCTTCGGCGGCCAGGAGCGGCCACCAGAGGCCGAGCGCGAGCGGAAGGAAGCAGCGCTGCCGAAGCGTTGTTTGATGGCCCGGGCCAGTCAAGAGCAGTCCCCGGACCCCTCCCGCAGGATCCGCCGTTTTGTTTGTTCCGCCACGGGCCGACCTGCGACAAGCTTGTGGCTGGAGCTGGTTGGGAGACTGAGGTGTCCCAGCACCGCTGCGGGCCAGGAAGATAAGAGAAAGGGCCCCCTCGTGGCCATGGTTGGACGCGGTTCGGAAGCATTGTCAGTTTCGACGCCAGGAGGTGCCCGGAGACTCAGTTGGAACGGATCTGTTTTCGCTCCTCTCTCTTGACCAATTGTCTCAGGGCCCATCCAGCGCAGAACCCCCCAGCCGTTTGACGCCCTGAGGCCCGATCCGGGCGTCCAAACACCGAGCAGTCGTTTGTCCCCCGCGTGATGGCTGCGACAAGAGAGTACGTTAAGCTGGCGCGTCGCACGGTGCTGCCAGGAACGGTTGCTCGGCGCGTCGCGCCGCCAGTTGTGGCCCACCCCTCACGCCAGGCACGCCCCCCCTCACCCGAGCGTCAGCGTTCTGAGTGTTCCCTGGCCTCCCGTCCCGCGAAGCCCAGCGACGGGCGATCGGCTTGCATCGCATACAGCGTCACAGGGACCGCCGCTGCCGCGACACGCTGATCAAACGCTTCTGACCGTACGGTCAGTTCGTGTCCGTCCGATTCGCCGGTGGCCCCAGCGCGGGCGTTCTCGGTTGGACGCCAGCAGTGGCCCATTATCGGGCAACCTGACGGAACGAGGGCCATCGAGTTACCAGATGTCGCTCAAGGTTCTTCCAAGGTTGAATGAGATTCGCGGTGTCAGGAACCAGCGACGGGATGGTCACGACAAGAACTTGCCATCGTGTGTTCTGCGACGTCAGATCTGCGGGAGTTTTCCGCCGCGGCCCCAGCCGCGATGGTGCACCGCCGCCCCCCCCCGCTTTTGCGGCATCCCCCCCGCTTCCTGCCGAAACGGACAGGGGAGAACGATAATGAACACAACGACGACGCGACGAACGAGGAGGAAGAGGTGGAGGATGGAAACTACGGCGAGTCTCCACGTTGACAAGAAACAGGAGGTGGAGATGGACGAGGAAGGGAGACAACAAGAACACGACGACGAGAAGAGGGAGGGGGAGGAGGAGGGGGGAAGAGGAGGAGGACGAGGAGGAGGACGACGAGGACGAGGACGAGGACGAGGATGAGGTGGATGAGGAGGAGAACAAGGAGGAGGAGGAGAAGTAGGATAATATGGACGAGGAAGGAGAGGAGGAAGAAGAGGAGGAGGAGAAGGAGGAGGAGGAGGAATAGGAGAAGGAATAGTTGGATAGAGGAGGAGGACGACGAGGAGGAGGAGGAGGAGAGGGAGGAGGAAGGAGGAGGAGAAGGTGGAAGGGGAGGAGGAAAACATGGAAGAGGGAGAAGAGGAGGAGGAGGGCGAGGAGGAGGAGGAGGAGGGAGGGTGGACGAGGAGGAGGACGAGGAGGATTAGGAGGAGGAGGAGGAGGAAAAGGAGGACAAGGGAGACAAGGATGACAATGAGGAGCAGGAGGAGGAGGAGGAGGAGGAGGAAAAGAGGCAGAGGAGGAGGAGGAGGCGGAGGAGGAGGAGGAGGAAGATGAGGAGGAGGAGGAGGAGGAGGAGGAGGAACGGGAGGAGGAGGAGACACGGGAGGATGAGGAGGGGGTCGAGGATGAGGAGGAGGAGGAGGAGGAGGAAGAGGAGGAGGACGAGGAATGGGAGGAGGAGGGGGAGGAAGAAGAGGAGGAGGAGGAAGAGCACAAAGACGAGGAGGAGGGGGAAGACGGGGAGGAGGAGGTGGCGGAAGAGGAGGTGGAGGAGGATGAGGAGGAGGAGGAGGATGAGGAGGAGAAGGAGACGGAGGAGGAGGATTACAAACGGGAGGGGGTGAGGAGCAGCAGGAGGTCCAGCAGGACCAGGATGACCAGAAGGACCATGCGGATCAAGAGGACTCGGACTTGGACCACGAGGGGGAGGACAACGTCATGGTGGCGGATGGGCGCACAAACGGCGTGGAGGAGGAGAATGGGGGGAGGAGCAGGAGAAAGCGGAGGAGCAGGATGAGCAGGAAGAGTACTACGAAGTGTAGGAGGAGGAAGAGGAGCAGGCGCAGGAACAGGATGAGGAGGATAACGAAGAGGAGGACGCGGAGGAGGAGGAGGAGGACGAGGAGGAGGAGGAGGAGGAGGCGGAGGACGAGAACGAGGAGGACAACAACGAGGAGAAGGAAGAGGAGGAGGATGAGGATGATGGAGGACGGTGGAGTAGGAGGAGGAGTAGGAGGAGGAGGAGGAGGAGGAGGAGGCCGAAGGACGAGGAACGGGAGGAGGAGGAGGAATAGGAGGAGGAGGAGAACACGAGGGCACGGCGGAGGAGGGGGAGGAAGACGAAGAGGAGGACGACGAGGAGGAGGAGGAGGAGGAGAACAACGAGCAGGAGCACGAGGGGGAGGACAACGCCGTGGTGGCGGAAGGGCGCAACGAGGAGGAGGAAGAGGTGGAGGAGAGGAGGAGGAGGAGGAGGAGGAGGAGGAGGGTGCGACGGAGGAGGAGGAGGAGTATAAGCGGACGCAGAAGAGGAATAAGAGGACGAAACAGAAGGAGTCGAGGAGGAGGAAGCGGAGGAGGATTGAGGAGGTTGGAGGAGGGGGAGGATGAGGACGAACGGGGAGGAGGAGGAGGAGGAGTTGATGTTGGAAGATGGGGATGAGGAGGAGGAGGAGGAGGAGGAGGAGGAGGAGGAGGAGGAGGAACACCACGACTGGGACAAGGAGGAGCAGGAGGCGGAGGAGAACCACGTGCAGGACCACGAGGGAGAGGATACATCCGTGGTGGCGGACGGTCGCGAGGAGGAGGGCGAAGGAGGAGGAGGAGGAATGGGAGGAAGAGGGGGCGGAGGAGACGGAGGAAAAGGAATACGAGGACGAGGAGGAGGAAGAGACGGAGGACGACGAGGTGGAGGAGGAGGAGGAGAACCAGTGGAAGCCCAAACATCGTCAACCATGTTGGCATATACCTTCCCTCCAAGCTCCCTTTTCACAAGCCACTACAAGGGTTCATGTCCACTGAGAAGAACTGCATCGTTGGAAGACAACCGTTTGACGACCCTGAAGCACGCCAAAACCTCATTCTCGGTTCTTTCAACGCCACTGGTCAACCTGACTGTTGCGTCTTGGCGTTTCCGAACCGTGCCAGAAACGCCATTCCTGGGACTTCAGCACCGCGAATCAGCGTGACTGATGCGCCCTCATGATCCTGATTCTTTCCAACACACCATTTCTGGTACACATTGTTCATGTCTATGTATTCGAAAGATGCTTGATTTGTTTGGGGGGATCCTTTCATTTCTAGTTGTTCTAGTATGGGCCTCTTCCTGCCCACTAGGGGGCCAGGAACAAGTAGAAACGAGCACAAGTAGAAACGAGCACGGTCAGAAATGAACGGCGTGTGCGTTGACCATGGGAATCCGTGGAACCTCGACCGTATTTTACAGAGAGTCTGCGCGGCGCTAAGGCGAGCGCCACATTTTGAAAACGAACCGCCTTCAATCCGTGAAGCTCTTGCCAGGTGTTAGAACGAATGTGCGCGGCGTTGAGGCGATAACCACATGTTGAAAACGGCCCGCCCGCAATCCGTGAAACTCCTGCACCTTGTTAAAACGAATGTACGCGGCGCTTAGGCGAGAGTCACAGTTTGAAAACGACCCGCCCTCAATCCGTAAACTCTTGCATACATTTTAAGACGAATGCGCGCTGCGCTATGGCGATAACCACATGTTGAAAATGGCCCGCCCTCCATTTGTGAAGCTGGTGCCAATTTGAAGCCTCAGGGTCTTGAGTGATGAGGAAGTCTCAGACGAAACGCCCCTCCCGCCCGCTCGCATGGCCTCGGGGTGCGACAGGGAGAAATTATCTATAAGGAGAAGGACTGGGGGAGGAGGGCTAAGAAGTGGAAGAGGAGAGAGAGAGAGAGAGAAACAAAAATCATAGGAGGATGAGGATACACATATATATATATATGTATTATATATATTTTCACATAAATCTATTATACCTAGAACGTATACAATCTGTAAGCGGGAGAGGAGGAAGACCACGACGAAGAAGAGAAGGAGTAGGAAGAAGACGAGGAGGAGAACTGGAGGAGTAGGAGGAAGACGAGAAAGAGGAGGAGGAGTAAGAAGAGGAGGAAGAAGAGGAGGACGAAGAGGAGGAAGAAGAGGAAGAGGAAGAGAAAGACGGAGAGGGAAAAGGAGGGGAGGGGAATTCGGTGGAAGAGGAGGAGAAACCGTTGACTGAAACTCAAGGGCGGCGACGAGCAAGACGGAGAGCCGAGGGCACGTTGGGGGCCAGGAGGAGCGGCCGCTCGTGCGCCCCTACCCGCCGGGACTCCCGCCGTGCGGCTCGAGGCCGGGCGCGGGCTCGCGCGCGCGCGAGCGGTCGGATCCGTGGACGCAGGCGAGCGCCCGTGGTGGAGGAGGGGGAAAATCGAGGAGGAGGAGGAGGACTTGGAGGAGGAGGAGGAGGAGGAGGAGGAGGAGGAGGAGGAGGAGAAGGAGGAGGAGGAGGAGGAGGAGAAGTCATCTGCCCTCTTTCTGAGAGGGACGCAGGCGAGGTCGAACAACAAACGGCACAGACGAGCTGTTGGGGCTCCACGCGGAGGTCCAACTGTTTACATGAATGCCGTTTCTGTTCCTCTGGGAGGGGAGGGTGGGGAAGGATGCGAACGAAGGAGTCCTAGGGAGATCGTGGCGAAGGTGTTTCTCAGTTTTTGGCATCTTGGGGCCCTTGCCTGGGCCCAGGGCCGTCAGAAACGACTCGGGATGGAGAACCGGTCCCAGATAGAGGGTCAGGACTTCCGGGGACCCCCTATTGGAAAATCAGGACATCGCATGCCTGGGTTGGGCTATCCAGGTGGGAGGAGGAGGAGGAGGTGGAGCAGGAGGAGGAGGACGAGGAGGAGAAGGAGGAGGAGGAGGACGAGGAGGAGAGGGGGTGGAGGAGGAGGAGGAGGAGGAGGAGGAGGAGGAGGAGGGCACAGAGGTGGCAGTAGCCACGGCGAGAGTCTGTACCCAACACCGTCATCGCTGACCTCCGTCTCAAATCAGGCAAGTCGGCGCTGCCGGGCCAGCGGAGGGGCCGGCCGCGGGTCGCGCGCGCGGCCCGGCGGCGCCAGAAGTTGCCTTCTGCTGACCCCCGAAGTGGGCTTTTGGCACTGCTCGGGCCCGTGCACTCTTCTCGGCGGGGACCATCGTCAGCATTCAGGAGGGAAACAGTACACACAGGCACAATTCATATGCATCGTCGATTCCCCCGAAGATATGGGAAAATATGGGAAGTGGGGGGGGACGACAGGAACCCAGAACGTGTGGGAACAGATGGGGCATCCTGTTATCTGTGTCTATTTGTCTGTGTGTTCCAGGGCCCCTTCAAACCAGTTGGGCCATCCCGCGGCAGAATATATACGCACGAAGCCGACACCTGCACGGGGGATGGACGGCCGAGCGATGGCAAGGTGCAGGGGCCGGACCGTCGGTCCGGTTGCTGCGACTCCTGGCGCGCCGGGCGGCTTCGCCCTCGGCCTCGGGCACCCGCATGAGCCCTCTGCACGACCGAACTGGGCACAGCAAGAATGGGTACAATGCCGAACAGCAGTTCGGCTCATTTTGAACAGGGCTCGCTGTCCGCGCCGCCGCGGTCTGTGTCCATTCGAGACAGAAGGCCGCCTGCCCAACAGCGGCCGCTGTTGGTTTGGGACAACATTTGTTCTTGGGCATTGTGCCCATTCTTTCCGTACCCATGTCGGGCGTCCAAAAGCCCGCGCAGGCCGTCGTGGCCCGAGGAAAGCGCCGCGGGAAGAGTCTGGGCCCGGGGCTCCGCTCGCTGCTCTGCGCGGCGTAGATCCGTTGCCGCGGCGACGGAGCTCAGGGCCGGCGGGGGGGGGAGGAGGAACGGAATCGGGAGGGGAAGCAACACGCAGTCGCAATTGATCGTCGACCCCCAGGAAGATATTGGAAAATATGGCAAGCGGTGGAGAAGACGGAACCCCAGGAAATATGGGGAAAGATTAGGGATCTTGAGGTTTGTGTCTATTCATTTGTGTGTCCCTGAGCCCCTTCATGGAAGGAGAGGGCAGGCAGAGGTGGGGTCAGAGAGAAAGGGGGCAGCGGAGTGGAAGGAGGCGGGGAGTACAGTAAGAGACGAGGCAAAAGTTTCCGATTCCCCGATGTTGATCACGTCGACTCTGCGTTCTTCCCTAGTTTCTTCCCTCTCCTCTCGGCCCCTTTGTCCTTCTCCTCAGCATAATGTTCCTTCGCCTTCTTATCATCCTCCTGATCCTCCTCTTCCTCCTCGTTCGTGCCCCACTGCTTCTTGTCCTTCCGCTCCTGCAGAGTTCTGGGAACTCCCAACACCCCCCTCCCAAAGTGTTCCAAACCAGGGAGCCCTCTGAAAACAGCCTCCTCGCCTGTGCCCCCCCTCATCCCTGAAGTGCTGGCCAGGCGCCCCGGTCTGCTGGACGGCTTGCCGGAAAAGGTACATCAACATAGCATATGTTGCCGAACTCGCGCCAAGAGCCTCTCTGGTTGAAACAGCGTGCTGTGTGCTGTTTGCACCTGCATGGGCAGACTCCACCCGTCGCCCGTGAGCCGAAGAACGGGACGGTCGGAATCGGCTCCGCCCCATTTCTCGGTTGTACTTCGTGGGTTTAGGGTTTAGGGTTTATGGCCACTAGCCCCACTCGGAGCCCGTTGGACGTACCGCACCCACCCACGACCCACGACACACAGAACTCAACGCGTCGTCGACGACGACGACGGCGATGCTCTTGCCAATCAGACAAGACGACGCATCGCCGATGTATCGATTTTGCATCGCCGATTCCAGGTCGCTCCCTCGGAGCTGAGCCCCCGTATCGTGGCGGCCATAGCCTCGCGGAAGCCCAGGGGGCCACTCTAGCCTCCACGTGGCGGCCCCTGGGGAAGGGTACGGGCGCGGCTCTTGACCCGCAAGGGTCGAGGTCGCGCCCGTACCCTTCGCGAAGGACATTCTGAACGAATATTTAGCAGATGCATCGCGAGCACATGTGCCCCGAGCGCATGCATGGGCACCCGCGCGCCGTGTTTCGAGCGGCGGCGTCACGAGCCCCTGGGTCCTCCCGGAAGCCTCCAGGAGTTCACCGACGCGGGGGTGCGCTTTGGAGCGCCTGGAGCGCCTGCGGAGGCCTGGAGCCGCTGTGGCAACGACTGGGCCGCGCCTGGAAGCGCCCAGGGGATGCCTGAGAGTTGCTTGGGGGAGCCTTGGGATCGCCTGGGAGCGCCTCCAAGAGTTCGCCGACGCGGCGGGGCGCGCCTTGGAGCGCCGGGAGCGCTTGGGGAAGCCTGGAGCCGCTGGGGCAGCTCCCGGGCCGCACCGGGAAGCGCTTGGGGGGGCGCCTTGGAAGCGCCTGGGCAGCGCCCGGGAGCCCCCCGGGAGCGCCACGAGCACAAATGCGCACAGGCGTGCACGGGATCGTTTTTTTTGTGGACAGGGATCGCCCGAGTTGGAGGCGCCTGTGTGCGCCGCGGAGCATTTGTTGCAAAGGATTTGGGCCACATGCGCGTGAAACCAATTAATTGTGCAAGAGATTTGGGCCACACGGGCAGAACATTTTTTTTACAAGGGGAAGTGGGGGTGGATATAAGGGGCGGCCGAAGGGGCGGCTTCACAGACTTCAGGGTTGAATGGTTTAAGCTCTTGATTACCAACAAGAGCGCGAACATGTCGACATACTCAACATGCTGGACGTGTCACACATTGGCGCGGCGCTCACATCCCACCCACCCTAGAAGCTCCTTGCATATGAAGATACACTCTCTGGCGCATGCGAGCCCGCGGGGCAGGTCGCGTGGAGCAGGGAGGAGCAGCGAGGAACATGAGGAAGGAGCAGCAGGTGGGAGGAACAGCGCAGGAGCGCGCGGCGGCCCTTGGGAGAGGCGCGCGACATCGCCTCGGAGTGTCTGGGGCAGCCTGGGGGCGCGCGGCAGTCCCTGCGAAGCGCGCGCCGCCTTCGAACGGGCACCGCGTGGGCGGAATGTGCACCGCGCCATATGTTTCGTAGACGACCGTGAAAAGCGCAGAACAGCTGCGCGGATGGGAGGTGCCCCGCGCCACATTTGTAATGCAGGATCACGAATGGGCGAGGAAATTGTCTCCCCGAGGCGGAATCCAACGGACAGTTCTCGGCTTAGGATCACATTCGGATTGGCACAGAGCGTTTAGGGTTCATGGCATATGGTCAGCATCGGCGCAGGGACATCCGTGGTCGGACATTTCTTTTTCGTTTGGCTGAATCCCGCGTAGTCCAGCTTCACAGTCTGTGGCATGAAATGGTTGCATACGGCTCAATTTGCTTTACCCCCGACGTCGCGATTACGATTGCAACGTCGGCCCCCAGAGGTCTGGACCGCTTCTGTGGGACCGGTTTCTGATCCCGAGTTGTTTTCTTTCGTGTCGGCCCCGAGTCCCGGCGAGGGCTTCCTGGGCCAGAAGTAGCGAAATCAATGCCGTCGTGATTGTTCTTGCAACGCGAGGGGGGTTGGGAATGTGGTTTGCATCTCTTCATCTTTCCCACGAGGACCTCCCATGAGTTCCCTCCTGGCCATCCCTCCTCGCCTTCCGCTTCCCCCGTTCTCCCATTCCTCCCCGCCCCCGCTTCCTCTGGAGGTCTTCGGAGGCCCCGCGCAGGCCCCCGCAAGCCAAGGGTGTCCACCCCTGCCCTCCCAAAGTTGCGCCGCATGCACCAAGGCGTTGAAACAAGGACCATGGCTGGCTGAGGAGGGGATCGGGTTTTCGGGCCGTTCTTCGGATTTGTGTCCTGGAGCCTGTTGATGGCCTAGGCCCGCCGTTGCCAGAGTAACCCTTTCGTTCCTTATCTTGCGTTGCTCACGGTAGCACGAATAATGTACGCAGATGTACTTGTGCAGTTTGTCTTTAGACTGGCATATGGAGCAACACGAGAGCCAACAGCACCCGACACGACGGTGGCGATGAGAGGCTCAAATAAAAGTTCGGTGCGCACTGCTGCAGACCAATAACGAGTTCGGTGCAAGGTCTTGCGCTGCGCGAACAACCGCATGCGAATACCGTTTCATGTGATCACGTCTTTTCTTCTCCAGACACACGATGCACGCTTTGAAAAGGCACGAACAACAATAATTGGCGAACATCTTCTGTGGACAGTCCCACCTCCTCTGGGGACTTACTTGCACAGTTTGCAGCTTACAGTTTGCATTAGCTGGGGACCTCTGGGGACCTCCCCTCCTTCTGGGGTCGACTCACAGTTTACTTTTGGCTGGGTAGTAGCTAAAAACATACATGTGTGGGCATCAATGCATTATGTGTAAATATGTATAATCCTGATGACACGATGTTTTAGAGGGCGCATTCGACGAACATTGCTCTTTAAAGAATTGGTGTGTACGCGTTTCCACTTATAAATGTATATACATGTGCTATATAGGTACACGTGCTTGTTGTGTGTATACGTGTACACATCTCATCGCTACTCTGTCCTTCCCATCCTCCCGCCGCCTCTCAAAGCGCGCGGATGGGGCAGGCGGAGGAAAACGAGGAGGGAGGAAGGAGGAGAGGACGAGGGGGAGGAGGGGGACCAGCACTACCACGCAGACCAGCACTACCAGCCAGGGAGGGGGCGGCGAGGAGTAGCAGCGGCAGCAGGAGCGTAAGCAAGAGGACGGGAGGGATGGCGGACAGGAGGACGGTGGACGAAGAATCGGGAATTCCGCGACCTCGACCACGCTCCTCCCCTTGCCGTCTCCTTCCCCTCTTCTTTCTTTCCCACCTTCCTCCTGTACCTCCGCCTCCTCCTCTTCCGCCGCCTCCTCCTCGTCCTCCTCCCCCTCCTCCGCCTCGTCCTCCTGGCGGTCGAGGCCAGGGCGGGAAGGACGGGGAAACGCAAACATGAACTGAACCGCATGGACTAGCGACGGATCCCTTTTCCGTGCAACATCGTCACGTTCCGTCGACACAAGTCAGGCGGCACCGGTTTCCTATTTCGGGGGGTGTTTTCCCCCATTCGTGGATTTGGCGCCCACGCGCCAGATCTACGGATTTGCAACACATGTTGGAGCGTGCCCGAGAGAAAAGAGGTAAGAGCAGGAGGGAAGGACAGAAGAAAGAAAGGAGGGGGGAGGAGGAGCAGGACCAGGACGACGGCGACGGCGACGACGACGACAGCCGTCACCACCACGATTGCGACGACGACGCGCTCGCCACGAGGATGCCGCGCTGCCTGGCCGCCGCCCTCGCCGGCGCCCCCGACGGCGCTGCGGCCCTGGACCCCGGGCCGCCTTGGCCCAGCGCCTGCAGCCGAGGGGGGCGCGCCGCCCCCCGGCTGTCCTCGACGCCTCGTCGCCTCGATCTGCTTCGGGTCGTCGTCGTCGGCTGCTCCGTTCTGCTTCGACTCGTCGTCGTCGTCGTCGTCGTCGTCGTCGTCGTCGTCGTCGTCGTCGTCGTCGTCGTCGTCGTCGACGCCTCGATCTGCTTCGAAACGTCGTCGACGCCTCCGCGCCTCGATCTGCTTCGAGTCGTCTCCTCTTCTTCCTCCTCGGGCTCTTCCTCCTCAACAGCGTTGTCAAGGCGTGTCCCTCGTTCTCCTCCTCATCGTCCTCAGCATCTCTCCTCCTTCCTCTTCCGCCTCCTGCTCCTCCTCTTCCCTTTCCTTCTCTTCCTCCTCCTCCTGCTCCTCCTCCTCCTGCTCCTCCTCAAGTCCTTCTCCTTATGAACAACTTCTCCCTGTCGAACCCCGACGCCAATGCTCAGGGCGGGCCGGGCGTTTCGCCTGAGATTTCTTCACCATTTGTGGTTCTGAAGTTTTCACATTGGCAAGAGTTTCACAGATGGAGGTTGGGCTGTTTCAACATGTGGCTCTCGCCTAAGCGTCAAGCACATTCCTTTTCGAATGTTGCAAGAGTTTCACGGATTGAGGGCGAAGGGTGTTCAAAATGTTGTTCTCGCTTTAGTGCCGCGCGCATTCTTTTTAACAAATTATTAGGTTTGCACGGATTGAGGGCGAATGGCCTTCAAAGTTCAAAGTGTTGTTCTCGCCTTAGCGCCGCGCACATTCGTTATCAAGTTTTGCAAGAGCTTCACGGATTGAGGGCGGTTCTTTTTCAACATGTGGTCATCGCCGTAGCGCCGCACAGTTTCGTTTATGTATTGTGCAAGAGCTTCACGGATTCCCATGATCAGCGTACTTGAAACGTTGTTGGGAAGGTTCAGGATAATGAGGGCGCAGCAGTTACGTTTATTCGCCGTGTTAAGTCCCAGGAATGGCGTTCTGGCAACCAAGGACCGCCAAGACGCAACTGTCAGGTTGATCTGTGGCGTTGGAATATCAAGAACAATGTTTTGGCATGCTTCAGAGTATTCAAACAGTTGTTTTCTCGACGAGGCATTGCCATCAGTGGAATTGAAACGTTGTAGGAGCCTATGCAGACGGAGCTTGGAGGGAGGGTTTATTTCAACATCGTTGATGACTCTTGGGTTTACGCTGGTCCTCCTTCTCCTCCTCCTCCTCCTCCTCCTCCTCCTCCTCCTCCTCCTCCCCCCCTCCGCGTCCTCTCATCATTATCCCTCCTGTTCCTCCTCCTCCTCCTCCTCCTCCTCCTCCTCCTCCTCCTCCTCCTCCTCCTCCTCCTCCTCCTCCTCCCCCTCCACAGAAAACTGTCCGATCGCTGATGTGCAGTGTCCATTGGCCCCAGGCGCGCGTGCACGGACACGGCATGCAGGATCCGAGCTTGTGTAGACGATGCATGGCCAGCGAGGGGACTCCTGTGGCACCGACAGTACGAGTGTCAGGCGCACCAGGCTTTGAGGCGAGATGAGGTCTCCCCCTGGCGGGCCGAGAGAGCGAGACGTGTCGGGTCTGGAGGTCGGGAGGCGGCGGAGGGTTTTGCGAGGGGAGTTGTCCGTTCTCCTTTGGGCTTCTTCCCCGTGGGGAGCCTGAGGTCCAGGTTAGGTGGATCAACTAGCCTTCCCCAGGGTTGCTCACCGATGAGATGTTTGGCGACGGCTCGGCGTGTTGCGAGGGTTCTTTGGAGTCATTCTGGCTGGGTGGGCCCTGTTCCAAGTCGACAGGCTCAGGCATGTACTGCATGCCGCATACGGACCCGTGCCGTTTCAAGTCGGGGCCCGCCAGACCGCTAAGCTTGGTGAGGACTCTTCCATCCACATGCTGGCGTATCCAGGCAGGGGGGCCTACGAGCTGTGTCTAGATTGCCAGTCGACACTCGAGACTATTTGCAGGGGCCCTGGGTCAGGTGTCGATGCGGGCTCGGCAAAGGCACGCCTGTGGGGCCCCTTCTAGGGGGCCTTCGGAGCCTCCGACCTCAGAGCCTACAAGACTCTGGCCCATGCGTCGGCGAACGACGTCGAGGCTGGGAGATCCATGTGGTGGGAGCGCAAGGCGAACCAGATTGCAGACACGTATGCCAAGACGGGTGCCGCTATGCACGGGTTGGCGGATGGTGATGCCAATATGTTTCGTGGTTTCCAGGCGTTGGCGGCTGAGTCCTGCAAGCGGGGAGGAAAAAGTCGGAGGTCAGTCTTTCCCATCGGTCGTGGACTGGCGCCGCCAGGTGTGCCGCCCGCGTCCGCAGGCGACCTTGTCGCTCCAGCGGGCGACGGGCGGCTCGAGCCCACCGAGCCCCCGCCCGAGGAGGAGGAGGAGGAGGAGGAGGAGGCGGAGGCGGAGGAGGCGGAGGAGGAGGAGGAGGACGAGTGTATCGTTGACCCGCCGTCGTGTGTCGAGGGGGGGTTGAGGCGTCAGGAAGAACGCGCTGAGCAGTTGTATTCGGCCCTGGATGTCCCAGGGCACGGCCTTGTCAAGTGTAAGATCGAGACCCCTTCGCGGGAGGGTACGTCCATCGTGTTTTGTATCCCTTGCGGGTTTTTCGGGTCGTACAACAGACCTGGATTTCCGATGAAGGACAGGTGCAAGGGCCGACCCGCGAGCCTTGGCATCAGGAGTCAGATGAGCAGAGTGCGCAGGGGACCGCATCCCCATTACCGGGACTCCACCGAGTCTCTCAGGCCAGGATCGCCGTGCCCGCTGAGTCTGCGGGAGGGTTCGGAGATCGAGGGACTGGCAGGTGGGCCTCTCCGCGTTCCTCGGGTCTTGGAGCCTGGCGACGTGTGGGCCCCAGGCGTTGCTTCCAGGCCGATGTGTGGGCCCCAGGTCTTGGAGCCTGGCGATGTGTGGGCCCCAGGCGTTGCTTCCAGGGGATCAGTGCTGGCCTCTTTTCGGCATCGAAGGAGCAGACCTCCCTGGCGCGAGGGCCCCCAGGGACAGCTCGCCGCGGGACGCTCGTAGGCGCTCAGGGGCGAGGAGCCCGATGCCTCGGAGAGAGATCTCGGCTTCTGGTTTCGAGCCCGCCTTTCAGGCCAGCCACTACCTTCCTCCTCCTCCTGCTCCTCCTGCTCCTCCTCCTCCTCCTCCTGCTCCTCCTCCTCCTGCTCCTGCTCCTGCTCCTCCTGCTCCTCCTCCTCCTCCTCCTCCTCCTCCTCCTCCTCCTCCCCCTCCTCCTCCTCCTTCTCCTCCTCCTCCTCCTCCTCCTCCTCCTCCTCCTCCTCCTCCTCCTCCTCCTCCTCCTCCTCCTCCTCCTCCTCCCCCTCCTCCGCCTGTTCACTCGTTCACTCCTTCCTTCGCTCCGCCGTCTCCCTCCCTCCTCCGATGTTTTCCTTCTCCTTCACTCCCCCGCTCCCGCGGGCTGAGCCCGGGAGGGCCTCCGCAGGTTTCCTCCGTGCTCCCTCATTTCTGCGCCCCTTCGCCCACTTCCCTCATCCCCCCTTCCTCTCCTCCTCCTCCCTTGCTCCTCCTCCTCCTGCTCCTCCTCCCTCCCTCCCTCCCCCCTCCCATCCTCCTCCTCCTCCTCCTCCTCCTCCTCCTCCTCCTCCTCCTCCTCCTCCTCCTCCTCCACCGCCTCCTCCTCCCTCATCCTCCTCATCCTCCTCCTCCTCTTCCACCACCCCCTCTGCCTCCTCCTCCTCCTCCTCCTCTCCTCCTCCTCCTCCTCCTCCTCCTCCTCCTCTTCCTCTTCCTCTTTCTCCTCTTCCTCCTCCTCTCACTCCTTCTTCTCCTCTTCCTCCTCCTCCTCCTGCTTTCTCCTCCTCCTTCGCCTCCTCCTCCTCCGCGTGGTTTTCCTTTGCCTGCCTGCAGCTTTCCCTTCTTCCCTCTCCTGATCATTCTGCCACGCTGCATGCGTGTTAGTCCTGATGCTGACTAGGTACACGCCTCTTCAATGTGACACCTCCCATTGGGGGGCAGGTTGTGACGCTGGCGTGTTTCCTGAACAGACGCATGGCCGGGAGAGGCCAGGGCCGTGCTAAGACGCATTGCGAGCCCCTTCGTTTCGTGATATAGCACGATTGGTGCTTCTCGGGTGATCCTTTCATGGAATGCTCCTCCCTCCTCCTCCCTCCGCCTCCCTCATCCCCTCCCTCCCCCCTCCCCTCCTCCCTCCCTCCCTCTCTCTTTCCCTCCCCCCTCCTCCCTTCTTCCTCCTCCTCCCTCCCCCCCCCCCAGGGGGCAGGGCCGGGAAAAAAAGCAGGCCGCGGAGGCCTGCCGTGGCCTCTCGACACACGGCTTCGCCGGCCCGAGCGCAGAGCGACGCCGATTGGCCGGCTGCGCCTGTGGAGGTCCACGCCCGTCTGTGCCGCCTCTCACAGTCGGGCCGGGCGAAGGGGGGGGATTGGGAAAGGGGGGGTTACGAAATCTGCTGCATGCAGCTGGTTTCGGCCTCACCGAGGGGGCCATTTCTCGATACATGGGCGCCTCCGGCGCCGGGAGGCGCTGGGAGAATCAGCTACGTGAGCTGATTCTCAAACCCCCCCTTTGCTATCCCCCCCTTTCGCCCGACCCGACACAGGGACTTTCATTTCCCCGCTGCGCGCCTTACGGAATCCCAAGGGTTTCGACATACTCGTAAGGATAGATCCCTGGGGATCCTCACGGCCTTGCATGGATCATTGAGGGTTCCTGCGGATTGTTTTCGGATTCGTCGGGAGTCGTCGATGTGCGAGCCATGCGAGCCACATCAAGCGATTGAATTTACAGAAATGTGCATCTACGAGTGGTTGTGCAGCCAACTCTATCCAAGCTACGCGTCGGAATTTACACGAAGTTTGCGCGAGGGGCGCTCTGACACTCATGCTGAAGGTCTGCACGTTCTGAGCGTGCCTTTCCCCTTCCCCGCGCGCTCCTCTCCCCCCGCCGCCCGCCGTTTCGGCCACGTGCACCCCTCGTCTGCTTCAGAATGCGGTGGGGATTCTCGCCGCTGCGACAAGAAAGGTGGAGGTCACGCCCGTCTGCTTGCTCGTCCAGCTCGGCCACGTGTTCCCATACAACCCGGGTCATGAAATTCTCCGGGCGAAGGACCTAATACTACGCAGTTGCGGGTACCGCAGTTGCGAGTAGCACCTTAAGAGGATATGCCTATGGTGCCACGAAAGCTGGCGAACCCGGTACCGAAACGGGCGGGGGACCGCGTCCCGACTGCACCACTGGGACCTTCGGTGGATTTCCTATGGTGTCACGAAATGTGCGACAGGCGTGCCAAAATGGGCGGGGGAGACGCATCCGCACTGCGCCAGTGGGACCTTCGGTGGGGTTCCCTGTGGGGCCACGAAACGTATGAGGATGTCCCGAAATGAGTGGCGGGGGCGCACGCGGGCTGTGCCATTGGGACCTTCGCTGGAGCTCCCTATGGGGCCAGGGGCCACGAACCGTGCGAGGGTGTGCCGAAACTGGTGGCGGGGACGCATGCGGGATGCGCCAACGGGACTTGCAGTGGGTTTCCCTATGGGGCCACGAAACGTGTGAGGGTGTGCCGAATCGGGTGCCAGGGACGCATGCGGGCTGCGCCACGGGGACTTTCCGGTGGGCCTCCCTATGGGGCCGCGAAACGTGTGAAGGAATGCAGGAATGGGTAACGGGGACGCATGCGGGCTGCGCAACAGGGACCTTTGGTGGAGCCCCCTTGTGGGGCTACGAAACGTGTGAAGGAATGCAGGAATGGGTAACGGGGACGCATGCAGGCTGCGCCACTGGGACCTTCGGTGGAGCTCCGTATGGGGCGACGGAACGTGTGAGGGTGTGCCGAGATGGGTGGCGGGGACGCATGCGGGCTACGCACCGTCCTCGGGGAGAAGGGAGGAAGGGAAACAGAGAGGCGGAGGAGGCAGAGGAGGACTCTTTGGGGGATTCTTTGGGCTAAGCAGCACTATCGAACGCTAGAGCAGATAGGGCCCACGCGCCTGCACTCTTGCACGTCGCAGGACACGGCGGTGGCCCTGTCGCCTGTACGGGTTGCCGAGATACTCGCTTGGAGTCACTTGCCTCCCAGGGAACCTCTGTCGCGATGGCGCGGAGCGGACTGCCACCGCCGCGCGGGAGGAGGAGAGGAGGGCTCCGCGTAGTCGCGGACACCGGGGGCGCTTGGGCGTCTCTCGGCATGCGGCCGTCGGGCCTCTCCGGGGAGGGGGGCAGCCCGGATCGGGGCTTCGTAGCGGAGCTGGCCGCGGCGGCGAGGAGGCCCCGAGAGGACCCTCGATCCTCGACCTCGTCCTCGATCCTTGAACCTCGAACATCAACCTTTGACCTCGACGCTCGAGGGTTGAGCCTCGAACCTCGACCCTCGACCCTCGATCGTCGATCCTCCCTTTTTAACCTCGGCTTTGCCCTGCCGCTCAAAGGCGCGCTCGCAGGCCGGCGCGGGAGCTGCTCGCGCCGCCTCCGGCGGAGCCCGGCCTGCCGCTGCAGCCCAGGGTGCCTCGCGGGGCGGGAGAGGAGTTAGCACTGTGGAGGACGATCAATGGAGAGGAAGCACGTTGCCAAATCATTTCCATCTTCTAAAAGTGGTTTAAACGTGTAGCAAACATGTAGAAGCATGTATTTAACAGTTTACCGCATGTTTCAAACGTGTTAAACACGTTTTCAATTCAACAATAATTGTTAGGGTTTCCATTGTCATGGCATCCACGAAGTTAGCAGGCCTCAGTTCGACTTCTCCGATTCGCTTCGATTTCGACGACTTCCGATTCGACTACGGATTCCGACGTGGACTCTGATTTCTCAAAGGAGGCACAACCTGTTGTTTTTTGCCGATTCGACGAATCTCGCCTTGGCTGCCGACTTCCGCCGATCCTGTGCACTTCGAACGCCGATCCGATTCCTCGATTCGATCCTGGGCTCTCCTGGGATAGTCGTGGGTGGGTCGGGAGGGTTTCCGAAGCTGTCTGAGGTGCTCGGGGCCCCTGGGTGGTCCTCATCCGCTGCGCGCAGAGAGCGTTTTCGGGGTGCCATACCTGGAGATGTGGCCCGAAAACCACTCGGATCAGAGGCGTCGTCAGGGGCAAGGGGACTGGCCCAGGGGCTGGGTGGCATCGATCGGGCGGGCCCTGGATGCGGATGATCGGGATGGTACGGAAAGATAGGCGACTAAGACCAGCAGCAGTTCCTGCCCATGTTGAGTGGGGATTTGCCGTCGGCGTCTCCGCGGACGTTGCACATTCGAGGCATAGAATTGCCTGCCCAACAGCGGCCTCCTTCGGTGTTGGGCAATATTTGCTGTTGGGCATCATGGCCATGTTTTCCGTATCTATCTCGGGCGTGCCAAGTCGGGGGGGGGATTGGCCCAGGGGTGGAAGCATCGATCGGGTGGACCCTGAACCAGGATAAGGCACGCCAGAGCGTTCTGGAACGCTCTCGGAGCGTTCAGGGGCACCCTCGAAGTGCCGCGGCGCCCGATACATCCGGATCTCCGAGATCCCCGATTAGTCCCAGTCCGATGTTGTTTTGGTTTCGTGTTCGTCTCGCCTTTTCATCGCCGATCGGGGCCTGGACCCCCTACCCCCGCGCAGGAACGTTGGGTCTCGCTGTCGGGGGCCTATCGCCGACCTGTCGGCGATGTGTCGCCAATTCGATTCATCGTCTCTCCCAAGGTTGGCCGATTCGCGCGGATGTCAAGGGTTGGCTCTGCCAAGATGAAGAAGAAGAACCATCCCGAACCCCGAGACAGGCGTTTGACATATCGTCATGTGCGTTGAATGATTTTCCCTGCCCCTTTCCATTCATCCTAGGGGCGCGTTTGCCAAAGGCTCTCGGTTGTTGGGGTGCTCGTTGAGGGGGTGATTATTCCAGCCTTGGGTTCCTCTGGATTCTCTTAGAGGCACCACCCCTCTGAACTTTCTAAGGCGCACTCAAGGCAACCATACCCTAAACGACAATACCCCCAACGACAATTGACCGCGCGTCGCGGTGCGCAGGGCGCGATGGGCTACGTTAGGTGGCCCAAAGCGGGCGGGACCAGGTCCAGGAGTTGCTGTCGGCGTCCCCGCGGGCGTTGCACCTTCGAGACACAACGTCGCCTGCCCAACAGCGGCCGCCTTCGGTTTGGGGCAGGAGTTGCTTGTTGGGCATCACAGCCATGGCTCCATATCTATCTCGGGCGTGCCAAGTCCGGGTGGGGGAACTGGCCCAGGGGCGGAAGCATCGATCGGGTGGGCCCTGGATTGTTATTGATCGCGCCAGAGCGTTCTGGAACGCTCTGAGAGCGTTCCAGAGCGCTCTGGAACGGCCGAGGTGCCGATACACCTCCCTAATCTCGGAGATCCCCGGTTTTGTCCTGTCCTGGTCCGATGTTGTCCTGGATTCGTCTTCGTCTCGCCCTTCCATCGCCAATCGGGGCCCGGACCCCCCACCCCCGCCCAGGAACCTGGGCTTTCGCTGTCGGGGGTCTACCGTCGATTTTGAAGATTCCCGATTCTGCCCTGGTCATACGGTGGGTTCATGCGGCGCTGGCGCGCTGGCCACGCTATCGAAGGCGTCCGAGCTTGAATTCTGCGACGCGGAAGCACCAATGGACATGGTAACGCCCCTGGACCCGACGAAATTCAGCCTTGAACGACCAGGGCCGCGATCGATTTAAGGTGATGGGCTTGTTTTCCACCACCACCACCATAAGTTGGAGGGGGGGTCCTCCTCCTCCTCCTCCTCCTCCTCTTCGTCCTCCTCCTCCTCCTCCTCCTCCTCCTCCTCTTCGTCCTCCTCCTCCTCCTCGCCATCCTCCTTCCCCCCATCCAACTTCTGGTGGTGGTGGTGGTGGTGGTGGAAAACAGGCCCATCACAAGGCTGCACGATCGACGCGGTGTCGAGAACCTCTGCGCGCGCCGCCGCCGCGCGAACTCGCCGCAGCTGCGCCTTGCCAACGAACGCTCGCTCCTCCCCTTGCGCCGCCCCGGCCGAGCGGCCAAACCCCGCCCACCGCGGGAGGCCGCGCGCCTCGGCAGCTTCCTCGAGAGCCGGGGGCCCGCCACGAGGACCCCCTCTCCCTCCTCCTTTCGCCTCCTCCCTTCTCCTCCTTTCGCCTGCCCCTGCCCCTCCTCCGCCTCCTCCCCACCCTCCTCATCCTCCTCCTCCTCCGCTCCCTCCTCCTCCTCCTCTTCCTCCTCCTCCCTTCCAGGGCGGTTGCCGACTCCTCCGGGCCGATTAGATTATATTTCCCAGGGTTCCGATTCGATCCGACTCGATGCGAACATTCCGATTCACGATTCCGATTTCGAGTTCGCCCGATCCGATTCTTGCCGATTTCGATTTGGCAGCCGACTTCTGCCGATTTCTTCCGATTCGGCTTCGCCCTGGCGTCGTCGTCGCCTTCCCTCTCCCTCCCTCGCCTCACTCCCTCCCCTCCCTGCCACGGCGCAGCCCGGCACGGCGGTCGGCCAAGCCGCGGGCCCGGGACGCGGTTCCGACCCCCCTCGACGGCGGCGACGACAGCCTCTGGCGGCGACGTTGGCTTGGAGGGATCCCGCCCGAGGAGGGAAGAGGGAGGAGGCGTGGCTTGGAGGGATCCCGCCCGAGGAGGGAGGAGGGAGGAGGCGTCGCCGTCCACACCCAGCACCCAGAGGGCCCCCCAAGGGGCCCCCGACGTCCCTGGACGGGCCCCCGAGGGGCCTGCTGACCCTCTCCTGGGGGGGGGGGGGTCGCCAGACAAGTCTGGCTGTGCGCAACCCCCCCAGGGGGCGGGTTTGGCGACACCCCTCGAGGGGGGGCTTGCAGTGTGGATCCCCAGGCCAGCCAAGCTTCGACGGCGTCGAGCGACCTTCGACGACCCACGACGACGATTGCGACGACGATCGACGTCCGAGGACGTCAGTAATGAGTCCCACCAGAGGACGCGCAGATTGTGCCTGCCGATTTCGATTCCGATCCGGCGTCCGTCCAGCCGGTTACCGACTCGATCCGACTCGGCCTTGTCGACTTTTGCCGAGTTCGATTTGGCAGCCGACTTCTGCCGATTTCTGCTGATTCGATGCTCCGGTCGACCCTATCCGGCTTATCGATTCGATTCTTGGGCCGATTGCCTTTCTCGCCGCCTTTTGCTCCCTTCGCCTCTTCCGGCTCCCGCCCTCATCCTGCTGCTCCTCCTCCTCCTCTTTCCCCTCTTCCTCCGCCCTCCTTATCCTCGAGAGCGGGCGGCAGGGGACCAACTCCTCTTCCTCCTCCTCCTCCTCCTCCTGTCGATGGCACGCGCACCCCATATTGCACAAGGCCCCTGGCCCTGAAGAATTCTGACAGTCAAGCTGTCGCGGCTGCAGTCAACATCCACCTCTCGAAGGTGGTCGCCAAAGATATTCATGGAGCCCAGAAAGGGTTCGTGCCTGGAAGGATGTTTGGCGACCACATCGTTGCTCTGAACGCCAAGTCTCGGCGAGCTGGCCTCTCTCCTGCAGGCGCGGACGAGAGACTCCCTGGGTTTCTTATAGTTGATGTGAAAGCTGCGTTTCCTAGCGTGCCTCAGCTATTCCTGCTGCGCACGGTTGCATGTACCGGCCTCCCACCATCATACATGCACTTTCTGGCTTGATTGTGAACGACACGATGAGTCATGCCAAGGTGGAGGGGAAGCGCGAACCTGTTTTCTCGATCACGTCTGGCGTCGCCCAACGGTGTCCGCTGTCTGTAAGTCTGTTGATTTTAAGGGTTCGACCTGTGGCGTCGGTGTTGGTGTGAGGCGTTTCCGACTTGCTCCGTGGGGACTCTTGGGGAGTGCGCGGACGATTTGGGGGTTGTCTCTTTTTGCGTTTCAAGCGTTCGAAAGCTACGCGAAGGTGTCCAGCAAGCTGAGAAATTAGCTGCTCTTGAGCTTCAGCCTGCCAGATATTGTTTCGTTCCTCTCTTGGCTGAGTATGGTGGCGACACGGCTGCGAAGGCAAACGAGGTTTAGCCCGACACGCACCAGGCGTGGCGATTTTCCAAATCCAAGGAGCTGCCAAGAACCTCGGTGTGATGTTGGGCCCCGGGGCCGACTCAGCTGCTCAGTGGAGTGGCCCCGGATGCTGGTCGCGTCCAACCAACGACCCAACAATATCACACACACCCACCCAAGGAGGCGAGCCGAGGTGTGTCTCGGCCCCCTTCCCAGGGGGGCTGGGACTCGGGCCATCTCCTCACGCGCACGCCCGTCGCTGCAGACAGCCCCCCCCACACCTCCTCCCCTTCCCGAGTGAGCGTCGTGTCCGCTGTTCCGTCGCCCCTTCTCTTTATCTCCTTACCTCTTGGTTTTTTTTGTCTGCCCCTCCTCCCGGCAGCGCCGGGTGGGGGGGGCTTTCGAAAATTTCGACCATTCGTGGTGACACAGTCATGAGCGTGGAGCGTCGAGGGGGTGAGGGAGGTATGGCATCACACAAACCTAGTTCGGAGGTGAGGGGGTGAGATCGAAGTGGAACGGAGAGCCCCCCTACCGGGAAATGGGTTTCGGTTTCGTGTTCGTGCGTGCCGTGCGTGCGGGCGAGGCGAAGCTACGTGGGCGGGCGAGAAGTGTCCCGCCTCTGGCTGAGGCGCGGCCGGACCACAAGTCTCCCTTCCGGCAACCGGTGCCGCGCGGTGTCCCGTCGGTGTCCCGTCAGTGTCCCGATGATGATGATGATGATGATGATGATGATGATGATGATGATGATGATGATGATGATGATGATGATGATGATGATGATGATGATGATGACGATGACGATGTTGATGATGATGATGATGGTGATGATGGCCATGGTGATGATGATGATGGTGTCCCGATGATGATGATGATGATGATGATGATGATGTTGATGTTGATGATGTTGATGTTGCTGATGATGATGATGCTGGTGTCCCGATGGCGATGATGATGATGATGATGATGATGATGATGATGTTGATGATCCTGATGATGTTGATGATGATGAGATGATGACATGATGATGATTTTGATGATGATGGTGTCCCGATGATCATGATGAGGTTGATGATGAGGTTGATGATGATGATGCTGATGATGATGGTGTCCGGATGATGATGTTGATGACGATGATTACGATGATGGTGTCCCGATTCTGATGATGATGAGGATGATGATGAGGTGATCATGATGATTTTGATGATGGTGTCCCGATGATCTTGATGATGATGCTGATGTTGATGATGATGGTGTCCTGATGATGATGATGGTGACGATCATGATGGTGCCACGATCATGATGATGTTGATGATGATGATGTTGCTGATGATGATGAGGGTGTCCCGATGATGATGTTGATGATGCTGTTTATGATGATGATGATGAGATGAGATGATGATGATGATGAAGGTGATGGTGGTGTTCCGACGATGATAATGGTGTCCCGATGATGATGATGATGTTGATGATTATGATGGTGACGATGATGGTGTCCCGATGATGATGATGATGATGATGGTGATCATGATGATGGCCATTGTGGTGATGATGATGGTGTCCCAAGGATGATGATGTTGATGATGCTGCTGTTGCTTATGATGATGATGGTGTCCCAATGATGATGATGTTAGTGCTCCTGATGATGATGATGAGATGTTGGTGGGATGCTGATATCATGATGATGATGAAGATGATGATGGTGCCCCGGTGATGATGATGAGGAGGTTGATGATGATGCCGTTGATGATGATGGTGGTGATGATGACGGTGTTCCGATGATGATGATGATGAGGATCTTGATGCCGATGCTGGTGTCCCGATGATGGTGATGACGATGATGATGAGGTGATGATGATGATTTTGATGGTGGTGGCCCGATGATGATGATGCTGATGTTGATGGTGATGGTGTCCCGATGATGATGATGATGATGATGATGGTGATGCTGATGGTGGTGACGATGATGATGGTGTCCCGATGATGTTTTTGATGATGATGTTGCCGATGATGCTGATGAGGGTGTCCCGATGATGATGAGTTTGATGATGCTGTTCATGATGGTGATGACCTGCTGATGATGATGGTGGTGTTCCGATGATGATGATGTCCCGATGGTGATTATGTTGATGATGATGATGGTGACGATGATGGTGTCCCGATGATGATGATGGTGATGCTGATTATGTTGATCATGATGGTGATGCGGTGGTGATGATGATGGTGTCCCGATGATCATGGTGATGATTATGTTGATGACGTTGATGACGATGATGTTGATGATGATGATGATGGTGACGTTGATTGTGAGACCGATTGTGAGACCGAATGTGAGATCGATTTTGAGATCGATAGTGAGATCGATTGTCAGATCGATTGTGAGATCGATCGAATGAAATAGATCGAGTGAGATCGATTGTGAGATCGATCGAGTGAGATCGATCGAGCGAGACCGATAGTGAGATCGATAGTTAGATCGATAGTGAGACCGATCGAGTGAGACGTTGGTTCCTCCCCCCCCGAACCTCCTATCACCCGAAGGGTGGTCGTATAGGTATCGGAGGTTGGGTGAGTCCGACGTGAAACGTAGACCCCCCCTACCGGGAAATCGATTTCGGTTTCGGGTTCGTGTCGTGCGTGCCGTGCTTTCGTGCGGGCGAAGCGAAGCTGCGTGGGCGGGCGAGAGGAAATCTTCCTGTGGCTGGGCCGCGGCCGGACCAAATGTTGCTCCTCTGGCGGCCGGTGCCGCGCGGTGTCCCGCCGGTGTCCGGCTAGTGACCCGAAATCCTCCTGTGGCTGGGCCGCGGCCGGACCAAATGTTGCTCCTCCGGCGGCCGGTGCCGCGCGGTGTCCCGCCAGTGTCCCGCTGGTGTCCCGTGGTGTCCCGTGGTGTCCCGTTGTGTCCCGTTGAGTGAGCTCGATCGTGAGATCGATAGTGGGATCAATATTGAGATCGATGTGGTGCCCCGAGGTGTCCCGTGGTGTCCCATTGAGTGAGATCGATAGTGAGATCGATAGTGAGATCAACAGGTGTCCCGTGGTGTCCCGTTGAGTGAGATCGATAGTGAGATCGATATTGAGATCGATGTGGTGCCCCGAGGTGTCCCGTGGTGTCCCGCTGAGTGAGATCGATAGTGAGATCGATATTGAGATCCACTGGTATCCCGAGGTGTCCCGTGGTGTCCCGTTGAGTGAGATCGATCGTAAGATCGATGTGGTGTCCCGAGGTGTCCCATGGTGTCCTATGGTGTCCCGCTCAGTGAGATCGATAGTGAGATCGCTGGTGGGACCGATAGTGAGATCGGAATGTGTCCCGCGGTGTCCCGTGGTGGCCCGTGGTGTCCCGTGGTGTCCCGTTAAGTGAGATCGATCGTGAGATCGATAGTGAGATCGATCGGAGGTGAGGGGGTGAGATCGAAGTGGAACGGCGAGCACCCCTACCGGGAAATCGGTTTCGGTTTCGTGTTCGTGCGTGCCGTACGTGCGGGCGAGGCGAAGCTGCGAGGGCGGGCGAGAAGAAAGTCTCCTCCGGCTGAGGCGCGGCCGGACCAAATGTTTCCTTTCCGGGGGCCGGTGGCCCGCGGTGTCCCGCCGGCGTCCCGCCTCCGGCTGAGGCGCGGCCAGACCAAATGTTTCCTCTCTGGGGGCCGGTGGCGCGAGGTGTCCCGCCAGTGTTCCGCCGGTGTCCCGATGATGATGATGATGATGATGATGATGATGATGATGATGATGATGATGATGATGATGATGATGATAATGATGATGGTGTCGATGATGTTGACGATGATGATGATGATGATGATGATGATAATGATGATGACGGTGATGATGATGATTTTGATGATGATGATGATGATGATGATGATGATGATGATGATGGTAAGGGTGGTGATGATGACGGTGTCCCGATGATGATGATGATGATGATGATGATGATGATGATGATGATGATGATGATGATGATGAATATGATGATGATGATGATGATGATGACAATGATGATGATGATAATGATGATGATGGTGATGGTGATGATTGTGTCCCGGTGATGATGATGACGACGGTGATGATGATGATGATGATGATGATGTTGCTGATGACGATGATGGTGCCCCGATGATAATGTTGATGATCCTGATGAGGTTGATGATGATGAGATGATGATGATGATGATAGGATGATGTTGATGATGATGGCGTCCCGATGATGATGATGATGATGATGATGATGATGAGGTTGATGATGATGCTGTTGATGATGATGGTAATGATGATGGTGTCCCGATGATGCTGATGACGTTGATGATGACGATGATGGTGTCCCGATGATGATGATGATGATGGTGATGATGATGATGATTTTGATGATGATGATGAGGTGATGATGATGATTATGATGATGGTGGCCCGATGATGGTGATGCTGATGCTGATGTTGATTATGATGGTGTCCCGATGATGATGATGATGATGATGATGATGATGATGATGATGATCATGATGGTGTTGTTCCGATGATGATGATGATGATGGTGTCCCGATGATGGTGATGTTGATGATGATGATGGTGACGATGATGGTGTCCCGATGATGAGGGTGATGACGATGATGGTGAAGATGATGATGGTGTTGATGATGCCGGTGATGAGATGGTGATGATTATGGTGTCCCGATGATGATGATGATGATGATTTTGATGACGTTGATGACGATGATGTTGATGATGGTGGTGATGATGACGTTGATTGTGAAATCGATTGTGATATCGATGGCGGTCGGTAAGATCGCTAGTGATACCGAATGTGGGATCGAGTGTGAGATCGATAGTGAGATCGGTAGTGAGATTGCTTGTGAGATCGTTAGTCAGATCGATTGTGGGATCGATCGAATGAAATAGATCGAGTGAGATCGATTGTGAGATCGATCGAGTGAGATCGACCGAGCGAGACCGATAGCGAGATCGATCGTGAGATCGATCGATAGTGAGACCGATCGAGTGAGACGTTGGTTCCTCCCCCCCCCAACCCTCCTTATCACCCGAAGGGTGGTCGTATAGATACTGAGATTGATGTGGTGCCCCGAGGTGTCCTATGGTGTCCCGTGGTGTTCCGTTCAGTGAGGTCGATAGTGAGATCGATAGTGAGGTCGACAGGTGTCCCGTTGTGTCCCGTGGTGGCCCGTGGAATGAGATCGATCGTGAGATCGATACTCAGATCGATGTGGTGTCCCGTGGTGTCACGCTGAGTGAGATCGATAGTGAGATGAATAGTGAGATCGACAGGTGTCCCGAGGTTTCCCACAAAATCCCGTTGATTGAGATCGATAGTGGGATCGATCGTGAGATCGATCGTGAGATCGAAGTGGTGTCCCGAGGTGTTCCGTGATGTCCTATGGTGTCGCGCTGAGTGAGATCGATAGTGAGATCGATAGTCAGATCGTGTGGTGCCCCGAGGTGTCCCGTGGTGCCCCGTGGTGTCCCGCTGAATGGGATCGATAGTGAGATCGATAGTGAGGTCGACAGGTGTCACGTGGTGTCCCGTGGTGTCCCGTTGTGTCCCGTTGAGTGAGATCGATGTGGTGCCCCGAGGTGTCCCGTGGTGTCCCGCTGAGTGAGATTGATAGTGAGACCGATAGTGAGGTCGACAGGTGTCCCGAGGTGTCCCGTGGTGTCCCGTTGGGTGAGATCGATCGTGAGATCGATAATGAGATCGACAGGTGTCCCGTGGTGTCCTATGGTGTCCCGCTGAGTGAGATCGATAGTGAGATCGATAGTGAGATCGATACTGCGATCGATGTGGTGCCCCGAGGTGTCCCGTTGTGTCCCGTGGTGTCCCGTTGAGTGAGATCGATAGTGAGATCGATAGTGCGACCGACAGGTGTTCCGTGGTGTTCCGTGGTGTCCCGTGGTGGCCCGTGGTGGCCCGTGGTGTCCCGTGGTGTTCCGTTCAGTGAGGTCGATAGTGAGATCGATCGTGAGATCGATGTGGTGCCCCGCGGTATGCCGTGGTGTCCCGCTGAGTGAGATCGATAGTGGGATCGATAGTGAGATCGACAGGTGTCCCGTGGTGTCCCGTTGAGTGAGATCGATAGTGAGATCGATAGTGAGATCGACAGGTGTCCCGTGGTGTCCCGTGGTGTCCCGTGGTGTCCCGTTGAATGGGATCGATGTTGAGATCGATAGTGAGATCGAGAGGTGCCCCGCGGTGTCCCGTGGTGTCCCATGGTGTCCCCAGGTGTCCCGCGGTGTCCCGTTGAGTGAGATCGATCGTAAGATCGATAGTGAGATCGACAGGTGTCCCGTGGTGTCCTATGGTGTCCCGCTGAGTGAGATCGATAGTGAGATCGATAGTGATACTGATAGTGAGATCGAGAGGTGTCCCTTGGTGTCCCGTGGTGTCCCGTTGAGTGAGATCGATAGTGAGATCGATAGTGAGATCGATATTGAGATCGATGTGGTGCCCCGAGGTGTCCCGTGGTGTCCCCTGGTGTCCCGTTGAGTGAGGTCGATAGTGAGATCGATCGTGAGGTCGATGTGGTGCCCCGAGGTGTCCCGTGGTGTCCAGTTGAGTGAGAGCGATAGTGAGATCTATCGTGAGATCGATCGTGAGATCGATGTGGTGCCCGGAGGTGTCCCGTGGTGTCCCGCTGAGTGAGATCGATAGTGAGATCGACAGGTGTCCCGAGGTGTCCTGTGGTGTCCCGTTGAGTGAGATTCATCATGAGATCGATAGTGAGATCGATAGTGAGATCGATGTGGTGCCCCAAGTTGTCCCGTGGTGTCCCGCTGAGTGGGATCGATAGTGAGATCGATAGTGAGCTCGACAGGTGTCCCGTGGTGTCCCGTTGAGTGAGATCGATAGTGATCTCGATAGTGAGATCGACTGGTGCCCCGAGGTGTCCCGTGGTGTCCCGTGGTGTCCCGCTGAGTGAGATCGATCGTGAGATCGATAGTGAGACCGATTGTGAGATCGAGAGGTGCCCCGCGCTGTCCCGTGGTGTGTCCCGAGGTGTCCTGTTGAGTCAGATCGATAGTGGGATAGATAGTGAGATCGATACTGAGATCGATGTGGTGCTCCGTGGTGCCCTATGGTGTCCCGTTGAGTGAGATCGATATTGGGATCGGTTGAGTCAGATGCTGGTTCCCCCCCTCTCCCCCCCACACAACCTCCTTATCACCCGAAGGGTGGTCGTATAGGTACTACGTATAGGGGCGACGCGCGCTTAGAGATCTTTCAGCACATGTTCGGTGGCGGGCGTTCTCTCGCCATACCGCCGCCCGGGCAACGATATACACTCGACGATGTATGTACCATACGCTCGGACGTGCGCCTCCCGGGGGGGGGCGGGCTCATAGCACTAGGATGCCCCTCTGGGGCCCGGAGGAGTGGGAGGGGGAGGAAGAGAGGAGGAGGAGGAGGAGGAGGAGGAGGAGGGGAGGAGGAGGAGGAGGAGAGGAGGAGGAGGAGGAGGAGGAGGAGGAGAGGAGGAGGAGGAGGAGGAGGAGGAGGGGAGGAGGAGGAGGAGGAGGAGGATGAGGAGGAGGAGGAGGAGGAGGAGGAGAGGAGGAGGAGGAGGAGGAGGAGGAGGAGGAGGAGGAGGAGGAGGAGAGGAGAGGAGGAGGCGGAGGAGGAGGAGGAGGGAGGAGAGGAGGAGGAGGAGGAGGAGGAGGCGGAGGAGGGAGGAGGAGAGGAGGGAGGAGGAGGAGGAGGAGGAGGAGGAGGAGGAGGAGGAGGAGGGAGGAGGAGGGAGAGAGGCCGGGAGAGAGGAGGAGGAGGAGGAGATGAGGAGGAGGAGGAGGAGGAGGAGGGAGGAGAACGGGGTGCGAGGCGGGAGGAGGACCCCTCTCTCACCTCCTCCCCCCCTCTCCCCGAGCGCAGCCCCGGCAGGAGCAGCTTCCTCCTGGGGAGCCTCCTCGGGGGCGGCGAGAAGGGCTTCGCCGGCGGCGGGGGCCAGGCCCCGCCCTCCCGGGCGGCCTCGCGCCGGCCGCCGCCTCCCTCGAGGGTCGGTGCTCGAGGATCGAGTCCTCGGGGCTCCCTCGAAGCCCCTCGAGGATCGGGGGATCCTGGATCGCCCGCTCCCCTCCCCGTGCGGCCGGGATTCCTGGGGGTCGGCGGTCGGCGTGTCGCTCCCCCGCTCCGTGCCCGCGGCGCCTCGGCGCGGCACGCCATCCACTTGCGGGCCCGCGGGTGCCCGCCCCGCGGAGCGGAGCGGCACGCTGTCCGCTCGCGGTGCATGGCGTGTCGCGGGGGCCGCCGCGGCGAGACGCGACGGAGAGAGCTCCTGACGGCACCTGCCGCCTTTCGATCCCCTCGCCCCAGGCATGCTCGCGTCGTGAACAGAATCACGGCGCCAGATGTTCGGCAGGGTTCGGCCTCCGGGGGCCCTCGCGGGGTTCCAGGGCCGTGAAAGCACAGCTTGGGACGAACAACCGGCAAGAGGTCGGGACTTCTGGGGGGCCCGTAGTGTAGAGTCCATACATCGAACGTCTGAGCCCCTCATTGCACTCCTCCCCCCTTAGGGGCAATGATAGGGGGCGATAGGCCCAGGGGGGATTTATCGACCCCCAATCGCCCATTGAACACAACGCCGATAGGGGCCCGATAGCCCCAACCTGCCCAGGAATTTGCGGATTCACGATCGGGGGTCTTTCGCCGATCTATCGGCGATGCATCGCCGATTCCAGGTCGATGTGCCCCCCTATGCCAGCCCCCCACCCTATCATGGCCCGGGTTTCGCTTCGCCCGTTGCGCTTTGCCCGGCGAAGCAAACCCTTGCAAAGCGAACCCCGGCGCAGCGGAACCCCGGCGAAGTGAAACCCCTCCGAAGCGAAACCCGGCAAGGCGGAACCTTGGCGAAGCGAAGCGGGCGAGGCGACACACACGAATGCACTCGAGGCGTCCCAGAGAAGGCCTCGCCTTCGGGGGTCGAATGGCTTGTCGGCAGCTCTTTTGGCATCAGGGCCCGACCCCCCTCCGCCACTGTTGGCTTCGCGGCCGGGGGGCCCCACAACCCGAGGGCATGTATGGGATGTGCGCAGCTGGTAACAACGGAACGTGCGCCGACGAGGCGCTCCTCTAGGCCTCTTAGATGGGGTCCGAGTAGATGGGGTCGGAGGATCGCGCCGCATCTCTGATGCATCGGCGATGCAGCTCGATGTGGAGCCCGATCTTCTCCACGCCGGCGTCGCCGATACACCGCCGAGGTCGGCGATGCATGGCCAGTGAATCGCCGATGCATCGCTGATGCATCGCCGATGTATCGACGATACGGCGCGATCCTCCGACCCCATCTACTCCGACCCTATCTAGGAGGCCTCTAGCTCCTCCCCCTCCTCCCACCACTGATGGAGGGTCAAAGAACCCCAGACCCTACTAACACGAGGAAGACGTGGCCTCACTGAGGTCCCCGTCTTCGCACCGGGGATCACCGTCTGGGCGGCTCGGTCTGACACGCCTGCAGAACAGGTGTCCTGTATCCCTAATACTCTTGGCCCTCCTAACTTAAACTTAGGTCCCTCCCAACGGGTTAGGGGTATTTAAACTATTGTTTACGAAGCCTCTTCATCGGGCGGCAGCAGCTGGCACCAAAAACGGATCCCGGGCGCAAAACTCTTTGTGCGGGGGGGGGGCCAGGAGATCTGCAGCCGCGGACTGGACAGTTCCTATCGGAGGATGTCCGCCCAGGCATCTGGCCGCTCCAAAGTTTGTTGTTCGGTGCGTGGGCCCCGGAGGTCTGGACCACACCCCCAGGGTCGGGCGGTTGGAAACTGGCGGTGGCCTAGATTCGGGGGTGGACAGACCTCCTACCCTGACACGTCGATTAGTGAATGGTCCGTTTTCGGTTCTCGAGAGGGCGCCGCGGCCGTCATTTTCCAGGTGTGCGCCCGCCAGGTGTGGGCCCGAGGTCGTTCTCACTAAACCACGTTTTACTGAAGGGGGGTCTGTCCATCCCCGATAGATGGGGGGGTGCAGAAAAGGGCCCCGAAAGGGGCACGTTGGGGCCCCTCTTGGGAGCCAGCAGGGGCCCAAAGAGGGGCCCCTAAAGTGGCCCTCTAGGACTCATGTCTTCACCCCCCCGTATGTGTCGGGGGTGGACAGAGCCCCCAACAGTGACACGTCGATTCGTGAATTGTCCGTTTTCGGTTCTCGAGAGGGCGCCGTGGCCGTCATTTTCCAGGTGTGCGCCCGCCAGGCTTGGGCCTCAGGTCGTTTTCACTAAACCACGTTTTATTAAAGGGGGGTCTGTCCATCCCCGAATACCCCATACTAACGTCACCCTCCATCACCACCCGCCCGACAGGGCCTTTCTTTCGTCCTGAAAACGGCCAGACGTTGGCCGCTCTAATTGTTGTCGGAGCGTCGGATCTCTGTCTGGGGAGGCCGCGATAACAACGCGGGCTCACAGCGCCCGGTCTCACAACGTGTACTTTGGCCGACTTCGCAAGTAGGGCGGAAATGTTCGCCTTCCTTCCGAAGCTCATTTGACGTCGATACTTTGCCGTCACTCTTCCCGCCTTACCTTTGCAGAGGAGGCGGCAATTGGTCGCCCTATTTCTCGGAGGCGGACATCTCCGCCCTACCGTTTCGCATCGCTTGGGGTGCATGTCCGACAGAGTTCCAAGTTGGATAATCAACCAAAGTGCGGTCGGATCGAGGTTTGAGATCGAGGTCGTTTCGGGGAGGGTGCCCTAGTGTTTTTGTTCGTGTTAGTGGGTGGTTCCTGTGTATCCTGGGGGCGGATACCCTCGAAGTCTCTTCAGTTTGGCTGGCGTAGGGTCTCATGTTCTCAAAGGTTGTTCTTCTGGCTTGCAGTCGACACGCATCGCAAGGATGGGCAACTTTCCCGAGTGTGCTGTTGCATCCTGGCCTTCTCGGTCTCTGCCTGGCCACCTCCGTTGGCCTCGCCCCGCTCGAGAAGCTCGGAAGCGGCCTTCCAAGGCCCTTGCACCCTTAGCATGCGTCCTGATGATACGGGCCGAGTGGTCCGGCTGCACGGCGGATCTGGAGCTGGGCCGAGCTCGGGCTCCGGGGGGGCCCCTCGCTGGTCGCCCTGGAGAGCGAGAGAGCGCCCCGCAGCGCAGCGGAGCCGGGGGCTCTCTGGCCGCGCGCCTTCGCCCACCCGCCCTCGCCGCGCGTGTCCCCACGCCTTGGAGACTCGACCGCATCGCTGAGGTCAGACCTGGAGGGTTTCTCCGAATGTCTTAGGCGACCCGTCCTCCTCCTCCTCCTCCTCCTCCTCCTCCTCCTCCTCCTCCTCCTCCTTTCCGTAGCCATTTTGGCTCAAGCCGTATCGGCTCAGGGTGGTCTGCGCGACCCGCTCGGCCTGCCTCGGGTCTTCCTGCTCCCTCTCCCTCGGGCCGGGCGCGCCTCGGCCGACGACCGTCCGCCCTCTGTCCCTCTCACTCACGCCATGGCTGAGGCCGCTCGTGGTGCAGGATCCGTGAACGGCCTGACTGCAATGCCTGGACAGACTCCCCCTCTTGCCCCTGCGTGGGCCGTGGGAGGGTGCGCGCCGCCGCCCGTGCCCGAGGTACCGTCGGAGGTGTCCGTGCAGCTCAGCGCCTTGACGGCGATTGTGAAAGAAGGGTTTACCTCGCACACAGCAGAGTTTGAGTTGTTTCGCCAGCAGATGACAGTGATGGGGACCAACCTCGATCGAATGCAGGAGGAGTTCGCGGAGATGAATCGTCGCTCGGAGGCTCGTTGGGCAGAGATAAAGAAATCCCAGGACGCAGCGATCCACCAGGTTTCGGTTGACACAGATGCGAAGTTGGCGGCAGTAGTGGCAAAGATCGACGTTCAGATACACGAGTTACAGCAGAAGTTCTCGGCAGGTTCGTCGACTCGTGCCGATTCGGAGTTCGAGCTCGTGGGAGGTGATGAGGAAGGAGGGCGTCGGAAGATGTTGAGGACGTCGGGCCCCGACCAAGCCAGTGCAACTCGTCTCATTGTTCTAGGTTTCGAGAAGCCCCTGCTGGAAGCGTCTCTCGAGGAAGCGGTGGCCCCGATTGTCGCCGCGCGTAGTCCAGCTGGTGAAGGACCGATCGTTCGAGCATGCTCCCTCGCGCGGAAGGTGATCCTTGACCTCCCCAGTGCTCTGTCGTGCACGGCGTTCTTCGGTAAGAGCCAGACCATTGGTAAGACTGTATACCAGAACCCGATTGGGAACCAGGGCTGGGAGCTCCGCGCGCGTCGTGACTTGCCCCCCGCCAGCCGCAAGTTGTTTTACTACCTGGGACAGACTCGTGCGATCATCGGGGAGGTCTTGGGGGAGAAAGGTTTCCAGGTGGGCAGCAACGATCTCGGCGGTCAGATATCGGTCTCATTACGGCTACCCGCCCAGTGATTCTTGCGAAGGTCACGGTCCTTGAGCGCGGTCGCCCCGAACTCGTTCTGATCCCTGAGGCCCTCGGAACGTTCGGAGTAGGTGAGCACGCTGCCTGCATTGTCACCCTTTTTGATCAGATTCGGCCCTTTGTGCGAGGGCCCCAGTTGTCCTGGAGCTCCCCGCCTCGGGATTCCCAGTGCGCTGCCTGGCTATTTTTGTCGGGTCCCTGGTGGTTCGGGCCCTCCCTGGGATGGTGGGCCTGTCGGGGGAAACCATCGGACCCGTGTGCCGAGCAGCCAGGATAGTGCTCAGCCAGCCAACCTGCGTTTTAATTTGAATTCAGGAGGACCGTTTACCCCTGGTGACCCGTCCTCTGGAGCGAACGGGGCGTTTGCTCCCTCTTCTGCGCTTACCATGTGCTCTTGGAATACACGTGCTCTCTTCTCATCGTACTCTGCTTCGTCTCCACTGGCAGCTCGGCGGTATAAGCAGATGCGTGGTCTTGCTGGCAGGTTTGACGCTGTGTGTTTACAGGAGACTCATGGCACGGCGTCTGATGTGGAGATGTTACAGCGTGATGACCGTTGTCGTAGTGCAATTGTTCACCATTCGATGATCGATCCGAG